CCCCGCCACAACATCCCAAGAAAGGGGTGAGATGCTTTCAGTAATGAAGAGATATTGAAAAATCTCTTAGTTGTCAGTTTTTAATAGTAATATTACTTGGTAAGACTGTTGGAAAAACCTAAGCGAATTCCCTAACTATATTCCTTGCCAGTTTTTCATCATGTTCCCACGACAGCCTCAATATACTGGATGAAGAAAGATCTGTGTGGAAAGGCCGTTTCCTGGATAACTAGACACATGTGGAACGCGGTGCAGCAGCAGGGCCGGGGAGCATCGCAGTTGGCTGACTGACCCCTCCAGGGGAGATCTCTTTCCTGCCTCAAGGTCTTGGACATGTTTAGCATCCAGGCAGTACTGAGTGGAATTGCCACTCAGAGGTTGTCTTGGTTTCTTTTCAGTGGTGGCTCATGTACTAATGTTTCCTGCTTTTCAATTTGCAAAGGGCTTTGTCACTTCAATGTGGAGCCCTCCTGCCTCTCTTTCTGGAGCACGGCCACCCCTCTGTGGGGTAGGAGTTGTCATTCCTGGGCCCTCCATAGGCCATGAAAGCAACTGCCAGATGCACTCCCTTTCCCCTCCCTCCTGTAAGAGCTGTTTTCCAGCAGGGATTTCTCTTCCCTGGGTGGCAATGAGGAAAATAGGGCAGGGAGGCAGGGAAACCTTACGTGAAGTAGATAAATCACAGTGGGCAGGTTTTCTCAAGAGCTGACTCTGGATCTTAACCGTCTTTTAGAATGTTATTTCTAAGTCCATCGACTAATTCGAACATTAATCAAATTGATTTATGTGTCAGGCATTGTGCCAAGCTCTGGGCACACAGGGATGAAAAAGACAGAAATGGCGCCTGTCCTCCTGGGATTTACCAACAGGGAGACTAAGGTTAAACAAATGCTGTGAATAATCAATGATAAGAAGTACTATAAAGAAAAATACAGAGGGATGCATAACAGGGGGACCTGTTTTCATGTGGGGGTGGGCAAGTCTGAGCAGAGACGGAGGAGGAGAGTGGGTCTGGCCAGAGGGCAGAGGGAGGGAGGGAAGGCAGTTTGAAGAATGGAACAAAGCCAGGTATGAGTACCGCTGCACACACACGTTCTCCTCCATTAGCTCTATTAATCTTTGTCACCAGGTCAGCTATTTCAGGAAAAGGGATGTGGGAGTCTACTGCTAAATCTGTAGACAAACCGGGTTGGTAGCATTGGCAGTTACATTAGAAGCTCTTAAAAACTGAAATCAGAGAAAGCAGCATGAAGTCCTTGAGGGTGGGGGCTGATGTCTGATTCAGTGTGTCACCCTTGTATTCCCACAATTAATAGCAGGAATTGTATACAGAGAAAGTATCTAAAAGCAAGTCAAACACTGATGATTTCCATAACTAACGGGTGATTTATTAATGGACGATTTATTAACTTCAAAGGTTGCTGATGCCATGAAAGAAAACGAATCTGTGATTGTGGCAGCCTGGCCCCAACATGGTCGCCATGCGTTCCTTCCCTCCCTGTCTGCCTGTGCCAGTCTCCACTGGGAGGTGGAGTCCTCCACTCCGCACCCCTTGAATCTGGGCTGGCCCAAGTGACTTACTGACCAGGAGGATGCAGTGGAAATGACATTTGGGACTTCCAAGGGCAGGTCCTAGGAAACCTTGCAGCTCCACCTGGGGCTCTCGGAATGCCCACTCCACGGCAATTTTATGGACCCTGAGACCCCCACATGTAGAGAGAGCAATGCCAGCCAGTGCCCAGCTGTTCTGGCCATTCCAGCCCAGGCGCCAGGTGTGAGTGAAGGAGCCTTCTTGGATGGATATACCGGCTCTGCCAGATGTCAAACAGAAAAAGGCTTAGGCCCGAGTCACATGACTCCTCAAGCCATTCAAGCTTCTCCAGCAGAGGCCGCAACATGGTGGAGCAGAGATGGCCCTGGGGTGCTCTAGATGGTTTTTATTGTGCATTTAAAATTGTAAAGCAACAGTAGATGCCTGCAAACCCTGCTCTAGCAGCACATGCTGAAAACTGAACAGTGTGTTAGCATGGACCAGAACAGGGTCAATGTGTAAACTGGAGAATGTTGCACATTTTGTTGTTACTTATTTCCCATTCCCCCACAGCACTTCGTCACCCGTCCATTATAAACCTACGTTGCATTAAGGAGACAGCAAAGCATACTACTTAAGAACTTGGGTTTTATAGTCAAGACAGTCTTCCATTTGAATTCCAGTTTTGTAACTTATAGTAGCTGAGTGACCTTGAACAAACTGCTAAGCCTCTTTAAGCCTTAGTTTCCTCATCTGTTAAGTGGTAATGACATGACTAGTACCCACTTCATGGAGTATTTAAGATTAAATTCAATAATGCATGTAAAGCACTTAGTGCCTGTCACATATTCACATATTGTGGTCAATCAAATGGTGACAATGACCCCCAGAGGACAAGAGCCTGATCTCTCATCTTTAAATTCATTGCACATTTCAGTGCCTAGAGCAAACTAGGTGATTTAAAAAGGCTGTTGAATGAAAGACAAAATGAAACCCTTTGTTATAAAGTTTTTAACATAAAGGGCAATTTTGCCTGAAAATTACTGGGAGCCAAGCATTTTAGAACAGTGGAATGTGTCCTTTCCACCATGAAGTCCTATAAGAGTCCGATGTTAGCGAAAAAATGTCAATTCAATTGCTTTTGGCATTTAAGACCTTCAAGGGCTGGCAGGACCTTAACAACCATCCAGGGCAACCAGTCTCATGATGTGTAAAGTGAGTGGCTTGGGGCTGGCCCCGTGGTATAATGGTCAAGTTCAGTGTGCCCCACTTTGGCAGCCCAGGTTCGCGGGTTCAGATCCCGGGTGCAGACCTACACCACTTGTCAGCCACGCTGTGGTGGCGACCCACATACAAGATAGAGGAAGACTGGCATAGATGTTAACTCAGAATCTTCCTCACCAAAAAAACCCAAAAAATGAAAAAGTGAGTGGCTTGCCCAAGGCCATCCGCCCACCTGAGGACTAGAGCCCAGACCAGCACTCTTGTGCCCCTTACTATGGCATTTTTTCTTTCTTCCTTGGCATTTCAGGGCCATTCAGTGGTCAGGACTGATCACTCATCTCTTTTATGAAGGGATTAGGCAACTCAGGATGGTCAGTGAGGGAACCTCTTGGGAATATGAGACCCAACTACAGGCCATGGAGGTTGTGTGTGGACTCTTCCCTTATGCACCTGTCCCATTTGTCATCATGACTCTTGATGGAATAATGGAATAGCTCTGGAATAGTGACTCACAATTAAACATTCCTTTTTGTTAGTGGTAACAGGTCTAATGGGATGCACTTTAGTTTTTCTGTAGTTAAGGTTGGAGTTTCATCTCAGTTCCCAGGCCTTTTCTCTATCTCGCTGCTCTAAGGCATAAATGTCCTATTCCTAACCAATTGAGTTAGTTATGCAGTTTTAGTTAAAGTCTACAATGAATGATGAAATATAGATACCAATTAGACAAACTTAAGGCTTCTTCAATTACTTTTCTTCTTGCTTTTGAAATAATAAAGGCTGCTGTTCAGTTCCCCTTACAGCATTTATTTCATCCACAGTCAAAACAGGGACCACAGGAAAATAGTGCGAAGTTGTCACCTGTCTGTCCTGGCAGTACATTTTCATGCCTGGTGTACGATGTTACCAGCCAAACAACGTTGTCCAAATAGTATGCAAAAGAAAATAACATACATGTGTAGGTTGGAAAAATTCAAGTCAATTCTTTACTAGTACATAAGGGAAACAGGACCAGCTGGATGATTCCCTCCACTTTCTCCCCCTCCTCCCTTGCACAATCAGGATTAGTTTTTGTTCCAACAGATTTCATTTAGAACAAAAAAATACAGCTAATCAAATTTTCCTAAGAAAAAAAATTATAGGCAAGGCCTGGGTGAAGAGCGGGGAAACCCAGACGTGAGCTCTGAAACCCACAGCTGTGCTCTCAGGTCTTGAAATAAATCTGTTTCCAAGAATGGAGGTTTCTCTTGTTCACATTTAAATCTTGAATCATGCAAAACTCAATGACATCTTTAGTTTCAAAGTTAGAGTCCTTGTTTAGGATGCTTGACTCGCTTATCTAATACAAGACTTATGAGAAATTCTTTTCAATTCTGACAGGCTAATTAACAGACTTTTCTACTGGGAGGTAGAGAGAAGGCAAAAGGAAACTAGACTGGGCAACAACAGGAAATATATGAATGCTCTGAAGTCAATTAACCGATCAATTAACTAACTTTAGAAAAAATTATGTGGGGTTTTTAGAAGTGGTTCTTAATACACAATTCAGCATTAATATTAGGTTATGTTTAAAAGAAATTAATCCAGATAAAAAATATTTGGCCACTAGGAAAATCAGAGTTTTGCTCAAAATGTAACACTAACCATAAATTACAAGGTTGGCAGAATTTTCAGGATCCAATCATAAGGTTGTTCAGTCTGATGGCTTGAACATCAGAAATGGTGGCAGAAATAAAATAGGAAGAAATATACAAGACCCATAACACCGCAGCACCTCCTCTTGAACTGGTAGATTCTAAAGCTCCTTTTATGTTTACTTGACTAGTCAAGTATTTGGAAAATATCCAAAAAGTAAAAAATCTTCCTCCTCCTGGTTTCTTTTTCTTCAGTTTCTACTACAGAAATTGCTTCTAACTTTTCACTTGCATATATTCACATATATGCTGTAACACAGTATAAGCAAATTTCAAGGCTGGTATAACCAACCAACCAAATTTAGTGTCATAAGGGAAGTTAAAGGAGAGACACCCGGTGAAGACCGGGGACTCATTTTAACGACTTGTCAGAAAGGGGCTAAGTGGTGAATCCTCACTCCAACTCCAGGTCGAATGGTCAGACAGCTGATGTTACGGCTCTGACATTCGACTCCCCCACAATTTTTATTTTAGCCAAGGTCAGTCAAGGTCATCTGGGGTGGCTGATTGTGCTCCCACAAGTAAAATTTGAGATCCAATTTCTCACTTGCTACAATCTGCATTGCCCAGACTTTTTATCCAAGGATCTGATGCTTCTAAACTGGAACATTTTAGCTCAATTTCCTTTTTGAATTGGCTGCAGGCAAGTTTGGGCCAGATTTTTAGCCCACTTCTAACCTGCATTTTGTGTATGAAGTTCACTCCCGGTTTAACATTGTTTTCTTTTTCATTTCCCCTTTACTTAGGTCATCTGAATTATTCCAGGTAAATTTTATCGTTGCGTTGTATACAGCTCTGTAAGCCCTCTTAAAAACTTTTTGGGACAAGGAAAATGCATAAACAAACTTTAGATAAATTTTACTATAATCAGGATTAAAGTAAAGCATGCTTACTATGTATCACAGGCTGATTCAGGTCAAAGATTTCAGAGATTAAAAAAATGGTAACATTTCTTAGCAAATTCATATTCTCCCTAGGGCAAAATTCAACTCATAGAAATCTGAATTTCAGGAGTTAAAAGTGAATGAAAGATGGATTCAAACTGCCCCAAATGAATGTTTCCAAAAGCTTCTGAAATTTTAAAAAGGTTCATTAAAAACTGAATGATGCACATTAAGTCTAACTGGAAAGCTGATTGGTCACAGTACATTATAGGATACAGGATAACCAGAGGTGGAATCTTTATTTCACAAGTTTCAAGATACAGTACAAAACGAATCTGTACATCTCTCTATTAACAGGATTTGTTTACACAATTATATTACACTTCACCAGCCTTTATACTGCATTTAATTAAATACAAAATAAATTTACAAAAAAGTCTACCATGGTGTTCCTTCCAATGCTAGCTTATGGTCTTTTTAAACTTCTAAATATTGATAGTGGTTACACCTCGATCGTATCAACATTGTGATTTCTTTTTTTTTAATCAAAGACAATAGTGTCAGCTTGTTTGTCATTCCCAATAGGAAAAACAGTGCATTGAGATGGCTCCCTGCACATAACCAAGACATTCTTCTCAGGCACACAAAATCAGATTTTTACTTGTGCAAATAGTCACTTTTAAATATAAATCATTTTTACTTGGGATATTTTCAATTTTCTTGAAATACCAAGTGGAAGGAGAAATTTAGTTTCTTTTCAATGACTACTACACATTTAAAAACCAGGTAGTGCCGCAGACAATATGATATTCAGAAATTTTATATTTTCATTTGAGAGCAATGATTCATGAAAAATATTTTCATGAAAACAGAAGTTTCTTTTGCTTTATTTCTTGCACACTTCTAGTCATAATATTGTGTAACATACTAAATTCACTTCCAAAACAAATACTAGCTGTCAGGGGGACAAGCACAGCCCACTTCTCTTCTCAGCAGGTAAAAGGGCTGTTTATTGAAGCATTTTGTTTTGAAATGTGCATGTGAAACGTTAGTCCAAACCTCTGTAAAGGAAGTTTTTTGCAGATGTAGCTAGACAATAATACACATGCTACACACGTGAAGAGCTGTGGTCTTCATTTATAGGCTTGCATGCATACCTCCAAAACCCTGGTTTGAAGAACAAACATGAGGAGCAAAGAAAAGAGGGAAAAACAAAGCAAAAAACTGGAAAAAAAAAAAACCTTGATGAAATACTTTAGTTTCCTGGAGGCAACAGTAGCTCCTTAATTATAAAGCATCAGATCATCACCAGATCATGGGCAGAAGTTTCTAAAACTTCCCAATGGTACAGAGAAAAAAACAGCCTGGCAGTAAAACTCACTAATTAACCTTATATGCACAAGGGTAACAAATCCTCAAGAGTATTAAGATTAATGATTCACAAGTTATTCTCATTTAAGTGCTAACTAATGAATTTTGGAAAAAAAAGGCTTTTGGTGTACTTTTTCTGTGCCATTGAATATTAATCAAAAATAAGATAAGCTTTACTCAGAAAACAGAAACTTCAAACACAAAAAGAGAAAAAACCCCCAACACCAATGCTACCTTTGTAACATAAAACAGAAGCTAAATAGATAGTCTCAAGACTGAAACAGCTAACCAACAAACCAAGTGCTCAAGAGAACAGAAGCTAATAGGGTACTGCTGTCATCACCTTCGAAGGCAGGAAGACAGACTATAAAAGGGATCAGGAGAGACGGGCCACCATGGGGAAATGAAGCCGCACTCTATCTGCTAACTCTAAATTCTAACGTTAAAACTCCTGAATTCTGGAGTTAGTTTAATGTCACTGACATTAACTAGCTTTAGTTATTGTCACTTTATTCAAATGGATGCCATTTGATTAGGTAAGTATTGAGCATTATTTATTAAGAGAAACACCAAACCCAGTTCCTACTTGCTTAGGTATCATGTCCCATGAACAGAAAAAGGGAGCAAAGTATTTTGAGACTGTCATGAGGACTGAAGTCATGAAGCCACAGGAACTAAGTTATTTGAAATATACCGTTCAAATTTCTAGTAGCAAATGACCCAAGGTAAAACAGGAGGTGGAAAAAAGCCAAGAAAAGGATATTTGGAATATTAATAATAAAAAGGACACGGCAAGTGGTAAACCAACAGGAAGTCTGTTATTGCATGAAGAACAAGACCGAGCTTTCCCATCTAGCTTTACGTAGGGAAATGTTTGACAAAATGTTGTTTTTCAAAGTACTAATGGAGGGAAGTAAAGATAGAGATAAAAATGTTGTTAAAGGAGAAATTAGGTGGATGGGGAGGGAAAAAAGGAAGTTTTAGTTATCTTAGAGGGTTTTTAAACTTTTAAATAAATTAAAACAGTTCCTTCGAAATGAAGCGTGGCTGCTACCGTGGATCGTACTTATTTTGAAGGGTGGGGAGAAGAGGCAGTGGTGAGGGCATCAAAATATTGTACCAACTGCCCTCAAATCTCTCAGTGTAAGAGATCAAACAAGTCTGAATATTTACAGGAGCTTCCCAAAGCGACATTACACTTTTGAGGGTAAAATTTCCTACCTTTCAGATTGCTTTTAGACCTACTGTTCTCTCCATGACCACCTCTTCAAATTTGGCAGCAATTATCTTGGAGTAAAATTTGCTTACCAGGCTTCTCATAATACTCTAAACCAAAAAAGCATACAATTTCACATTTAAAGTCTTCATATTCATTACAGACTAATTAAATCTAGTTTTAAATACAATCCCAACTTCAAAAACCAAAGTCTTACAACTCTACAGGTAATAAACTCTTCAAGTTTTCTGGCAGATGAGGGGTTATGGACAGAGTATAAAGGCTGATATAAACAGGCTGAGGTCAGCAGGCCTAGAAAGCCTGCTCAGATACTAATGTAGTCTCAGACTAGATACAGGCTGGCGAATACCACCATCTGACAAATAAAAAGACATACAAGTTCGGTTTCAGTTTCAATGTTTTCATTTGCATGATATGTGAAGTTCTCATTTGTCTTTGTTGTTGTTGTTTTCCATACTATCTAACCTGACAATTCTGAAGAGTAACAGCCTTGATTTTCCGAATGTTAACAGGGGGCGGGTGGTGACTGTAATAGCTTAGCAAGTGGCTGACTTTCTACCGAACAGTATGCACAGGCTTTGGCTTTCCTCAACCACTGCGTTTAACGCATCTTAGATTCTCTGAGTTTTAGTATTATAATGGTAGTTACTGTATGCCATATCCTGGCAACAATATTTCATATTTAAAGAATTCAGGAGGGTGATCTGTTCTTTTGCAATAAGACATGCAAAATAAAATAAATCCTGGGAACAAATGCTTCGACTTTTGGGAAAGTGTGTCTACGATCCTGGTACCCCACCCAGAGTTCTTGTTTTCTGATTTCTCCCACCTAGTCTATCTTCTAGCTTCCAGATCAAGGCTCTGTATACTTAAACAAGCAAATTACACTGAGTAGGTGGGGTAAATTCACACGTTGGCTCAAGGAGTCAGTTCACAATTTTTTATATCTAATCCATTCCAAAGAAGTGAAGTTCACATAAAACTCTTGAACAAAGCCTTTCCGTCTTTGAAGGAGAGAAGTATGGTAGAAAGTATGACAAACACCAATAATAAGAAACCTCCCAACCTTCCCTTTTAAAATAACAAATATGAGGAATATGTATACTTGCATGTGGCTTGGTAGAAGTTTCTGTTGTTGTAGTTTTGAAACACTCTGAAGATTTTTTTTTTTTTTTACTTAAAAGGTAAGTTCTATTTTCAGACTTTCAAACATGTTAAGGTTAAACTTGCAACAGACTAGGCTTTCCTTTTTACAATGATCCGTTTTTAGTGTCGATGCATGAGACCTTAAAGGTGGTTGACAGAAGAAATTATGCACATTGAGAGAAGGACCAACAGGACCCAAGAAAGAGAGCTGGATACAGCAGACATTACTTTGAATGTCTCACATGTTTCCAGGAAAAAAAAAAAAAAAAAATAAGGAAAGCCACTGAGAGCTGTTATTCCATACGGTACTGAAACAAACATTCAACTTAGTTTAGGTAAGAGTTACTTATCCCTGAAAATAAAGGCATCGGATTCTAAGCAGCTTCAGGAATTCAATGCTTCCTTGTGCCTCTTCCAGGAGGTGGCCACTGATCCCAAGTCCTAAATCTAACGCAAATGTTCTCAGCAAACAGTTTCCTTGGTTGTCACTGATCAAGGCTGGACACAGTGGCTGTTACTGTGGCGGCTGTTGCTCTGGTGGCCCCTCCTGCTGTGGTGGCACTGGCCGTGGCCCTGGAGGCCTGGGTACAGGCATGTCTTGGTGCTGCCTCTGCCTGTAAGCTATAACTGTTCCCAACAGCAATGCGATGATGGTCATGAGGTAAAGGTCCCACTCAGGTCCCAAAAGCTGGTCCATATCAAGTTGGGTGAATACATCTCGAATCTTAATGAGAATAATATAAAAATGATTATGATTATTAAAATGTCAGAGAAGGAAGCAGGAAAGTTATATCAAAATCAGAGATAAATACAGAACTTATTATTAAAATAATTGGTTTTAGAAACATTTTACAATGTGTTTTTAAAAAGAGGTTTTAAAAGCTTTCAATGGAAACTCAATAATATGTCTCAGGAACTAGTTATTATTTCATAACTCTATATAAAGTGTCTAACAGGGTTCCTTTCCATCAGTAATTGAACGCACTAATTTCTTACCATTTTTCACAGCAAATACTTGAAAGGAACACTGGGGATGATGGAGGACCAAGGTGGGGGGCAGGAAACCCAGTATCTTGGCACACCTGTAACCTATCTGCAGTGATGGCACACCACTGTTCTAATGACAACAGGGTTATTCTACTTCTCTTCTGTAGTTGAACATGGCAGGAATTCAAATGTTCAACAGCTGAATGAATAATGCTTTTTAGTTAGGATTTAACTAAATATTTAACACCCGAATTTGAACTTAAATGTTATGTTCTTGGTCTATGATATTTCAATTGCTTCAGTGTCACTTAAGTTATTCCTGGTATTTTCTAACTGCTACTTACCCACAAAGAAAGTAAATATGGCATATAATCCTTTATGTTTAAATAAAATTACATTTAAAAGGTCCCCATGCTATGTATTCGTAGGTACAGGTGCTAAATTTTTATGGAAAAAAATAACATGAAACTATTAACTGTGTTTCCTGGGGAGGGACCTGCGATGGGAGACTTTGTGTTTTTCTGTACTGTTTGACTTTCTTACCATCAATAGTTATTACTCTTTTTTTGTAATTGGAATATCTAGGTGGTAGGATTATGGGGCATTTTAGTCTTCTTTATACTTCTGTATTAAAACAAAACAACAAAGATATAATATACTTAGTATGGTGTATTGCATGACTGAATCCTAGACTGTAATCAACAGTTTATTAGTAATAAAAATTGTGAGACAAGGGTCTGAAATAGTCCTGAGAGAGAAAAAGCAGGCTGCTACACTGTTAGCTTTTTAATTAAAGGAACAAAGATCATTTCAATTAGCAGAGAGGGTACAGCACACCATGACTCATGCTATCAAGCAATTATAAATTTGACATTACAAATATATAAGCAATTAGGAGGACAGAGTCCAACACCTCTAGTCCTCTGGAGCCCTGCACTTGGAGGACCTCAGTAGCACGGCTAGGGTTGCAAAAGCCAGAAGTCAAATTTCTCTTTATAGATGCGGGAGCAGCATGGACTATATTTATATCCCTAACGTAGGAGGGAAAGCCTGTTCTGGATTTTAATGCTGAAATGCTGTCTCAACCTTTTCTGAAAGAGGTTAACAAAAGGTTGAAACATCATTCTTTTCTGGTCTGGAATGAATTATAATAGCCCTTGTGTTTGCATACATTTTAGGACTCACAGAGTTAAATGCTGCACCAGTTAATCCATTATGAGGAACTATAGGTACTGAAAACAAAATGTAAAACTGAAGAACTCAAGAGCACCTACATATAAATACTAACTAAAGTTGGCAGTTTTAAAAGGAATGAGTAACCCACCTCCTATCTAAGTTCTACCATTAGCTTATTTAAATAATTCAAGGTATTTTTAGAGGACAAAATTCCGGTGGCGTTTTTAACATGTTTCACTATCAAAAGAATCTGAAGTACAACAGCCTAGGCAAGTTCTCAGGCTCTACTTCTTCTTCCCTTTTTTAAAATTCTCTTTTTAAGGGACTGGTTTGAGTCACTGCTAGGCAGTCATCTGATTTAATGTTTACTGAATTTAGTTAACTCCTGTTTCAAACTGCCATGGGTTACTCTCAGTTTTCCTTAAATTAGAAAACAACTGCATCAACAAAAAAGGCTTCAGCATTGGGAACCACTGTCAAATGCTACCTGGAACCTGTAAGTGCTTTGGGCTACATTCACCCTTCACCTGATAAGGTCTGCTGGTACCTCACCTGAGGGGAAGAAGGGAAGAGACCAGACACTTGCAGGACACTCCTCTCCTCTACTCCAACTTTTTAAATACAAACTTCTGGACTGAGGAGCTTACATCATTTGTATTTTAATTAAGAGAGGCCTGGACCACTTACATTTGTTTCCCGTATGTACTGCAAGAAATACACAACGCCCAATTTGCAGAGTGCTAGGAAGACGGGTACTTGCGCATCTGGGCTAGCTTCGGCTGCCATGTCATAAAAACGTTTTGCAAGGTGAATATCCTATAATACAGGTAATAAACCAAAATTCATTTCTTGTTAAAATAAGTAAAAAGAATTATTATTTAGTTTACATATTAGGAAAACTTATTTTAACTTTCAAGTTTTCATTTTAAAATTTCCCCTACCTAAAGAAAAAAACTCAAGCTTTAATTGGGTTATATTTCTTTAATTATCTAACTGCTTAATTTTGAAAAATTGAATTGAAAAAATTTAAGACTTAGCTCATGTTCCCTGGATCTGGCATCCCATTTGCTGTGCAGATATGCTGGATACAGCTATATATCTATGTACAACACTGTTAATCTGAAGATTTCCAGGGGTGACCTATAAACCTCAAGTTTATTTTTTCCTACTTAAAACTTCAGTCAGTGTAGGGCCGGCCCCGTGGCTTAGCGGTTAAGTGCACGTGCTCCGCTGCTGGCGGCCTGGGTTCGGATCCCAGGCGCGCACCGACGCACTGCTTTTGCGGCCATGCTGAGGCCGCGTCCCACATACAGCAACTAGAAGGATGTGCAGCTATGACATACAACTATCTACTGGGGCTTTGGGGGGAAAAATAAATAAATAAAATTAAAAAAATAAATAAATAAAATAAAGGAGAATGTTTTAAAAAAAAAAAACAAAAACTTCAGTCAGTGTAAGCAATTCCTGGTTTCAGTTCGGAGGAGTGATCTTCAAACTGGGGAAGACAAACTCAAGATTTTCCAAGGGGAACTTGCATGGACAGTGTTAAGGGACTCACAGCATGTGTTTCCATGTCTTAGACATATTTCTGTAAAGGGCAAAATACATTATTATTAATTTTGGCCCAGACTGGAGTGTTCTGCATTCAGATATATGTAGAATGGGACAGTGGGAGTTATGAAATTTAACAACCTCACTTCTTCCGTGCCCTGTTGTCAAAGAATACTGAACTCCTAGGAGACATGGGAAAGAAAGGCTAAACGTTAAAAATGACTTCTTCCACATATTTAAATATAAGCAGTTACTTTCAGCTATTCCCCATTCTTGTCCCTAGTGTGTGTTATTAAAAAGAGGAGCACCTTTGAACAGTAGCAGTATGGTTAGTATCTTTGACTGTCAAAAAAATGTTACAAATCTTTTTTGGAGTGCCGTATTTTTCAAGATAATGGATTAAACTTTTATGTGATGACAGACTCTGTGTGGATGATTCAATAGGGTAATTAAATCTTATCTATCAATCATATCCTGAATTATTTATTCCAATCTTACCCAAGCCTCATCTTATTTAATACTTAACATTTTTCTAGCTATACCAGATGCTGGACTGATTAGTTTTTAGTAGTATGAACGTCTCTTTCATTTAAAAAAGAGTAAAAAAATAGAAAAAGGTGATCATGATGTCTTATAAAAACTAATGGAAGTATTTTGATTTCTATACATCATTTTTCTTAAAAGCTGAATCCCAGAGTTCCCTACCTCCACTCTTATCAAAGGAATACTATGCATTTTATCATAGTCTTTATTCACAAGAATTTATATAAGCTACACATGATATTACATTACAAATTAAATCATGAGATGATAAAAAGACACTGATTTTCTTGTTTTATAACCTATTATAAAAACAGACTGTTTGAGTTCTATTACTTTAATTTTGATTGTTTTTAGTAAATTATTACTAACTGTATCCCACAAAAACCATAACTTATGTGTGATCCTTCTATTAGTCAAACACATATTAATTTTATTTGAATTAAAAAATGAAGTCAGACTTTCTGATAGAAACTAAGTCTGACTTGGCTGACTGGTCTGACAATGAAGAGAGGCTTCAATAACTATGTTACATGGCATAGATCTTCCATTAACTGAATGCACTCAGCCTGCACTCCAGAGTCTTGATAAAGCTATATTCAAATATCTAATATTAACATAAATGTAAAATATCAAAATTTACATATTGGAATTAAAATAAAATTAATATTCAACTATGATAAAAAGCACTTTGACAAAAGATAGTGCATTAGCAAAATGAAATGAACAACTTTCCCTTAAGCACATTAGGTCAACAAAGTGTCTCTAAGTGACAGAGTAAGGAGTATAATTAGTTATTTGATAAGCCCTGGTAACTCCTTTTAGGTACTCCTCCCAGAAACTGAGAAAGTGAATGACTGCAGTGATCAGGGAACAAATCCTTCTGCAAGTCTCTAGTTTCCAATTCTTTGTTTTCAGCAAAACTGAACGGGCACCTAACCAAGTTGTCAGGTGACAGACCATTAAAAATAATTTTAATGACAGATCACTCTGATTTTTGGCATATGCTATGGACTAAATGGGTCCCCCCCAAAATTCATATATTGAAACCCTACCCACTAATGTGACGGTATTAGGAGGTGAAGTCTTTGAGAGGTTATTAGGATTGGATGAGGTCATGAGGGAAGAGCTCTCATGAATGGAATCAGCAGCCCTGTAAGAGTCCTTAAAGAGTTCGTTGCTCCTCTCTTGCTCTTTCCTCAAGTGAGGACAAAAGCGAGAAGACCACCATCTATGACCCAGGAAGCGGGCCCTCACCAGACGTCAAATCTGTTGGCACCTTGATCTTTAACTCCCCAGCCTCTAGAACTGTGAGAAATAAATGTCTGTTGTTTAAGACACCCAGTGTATGCTATTGTGTTATAGTAGCCTGAACTGACTAAGAGAGCATGTAACTCTAAAGCAGTTCACAGAATCAAGTGACCTTGCTATAATAAAATTCTTCCAATTCCCATATACTTATTTATGTGAACATGGTTCAAATCACACATTTATAAAAATGAAAATAGAATTAATGCTAAATCTACTCAATGATACTTAAACTAATTTTTAAAATTTAATTCATCTCATTAAAAGATGCATTTTCAATAATTACTACAAAAAGCGAAATCTTATCAAAACTTATATCATTATGTTGATTTGATCAATAGTGTATTAATAATTGGCCAACTATGACTAATAATATCTCAAGAATTTTTCTTAACACTTAGAGCCTATAATCACAGGAAACAAAATTTAAAATTTGAATATATACTTGTTTCTTTCAGATAAGTACAATAGAGTGCTCAGTAAAAGATCTAAGCATTAAAAACATTACTATACAATTCTATGGCAACATGGACTGAAATTATAAATTCAGGGAGAAAAGGAAAAGATACAATTTTCTTTTTTTTTTTTTTTAATTATATTTATTTTTCCCCCAAAGCCCCAGTAGATAGTTATATGTCATAGTTGCACGTCCTTCTAGTTGCTGTATGTGGGACGCGGCCTCAGCATGGCCGGAGAAGCAATGTGATGGTGCGCGCCCAGGATCCGAACCCAGGCCGCCAGCAGCGGAGGGTGCACTCTTAACCACTAAGCCATGAGGCCGGCCCCACAATTTTCATTTAATGAATTTGCTGTTTTTTTGTGTGTGTGTGTGAGGAAGATTAGCCCTGAGCTAACATCCATTGCCAATCCTTTTCTTTTTGCTGAGGAAGACTGGTCTGGGCTAACATCTGTGCCCATCTTCCTCTACTTTATATATGGGACCCTGCCACAGCATGGCTTGATAAGTGGTGCACAGGTCTGCGTCCTCGATCCGAACCTGCGAACCCTGGGCCGCCCAAGTGGAGCGTGTGAACTTAACCACTTCGCCCCTGGGCTGCCCCTGCTGTGTGTTTTTAACATTCAATAATGGAGGTATCAAATTATTTTGATATTTAGAGTAATTTAGTTACTTTATTTAAAGAACAGTTAGTGTTTAAAACAGCTAGAACTTAGACTCTTTGAAACTTATGATGAAAAATTTTAAATGTCAAATTAAAAATGTGCAAGAGGAAACACAGTTTTTCAAAATTCTTTTAAGGGTACAGAGGCAAAAACTTAAGACCATGGTCTAAAAAATGTTAGACGTCATTAAGAAGGTATAAGAATCAGAAGTCAGTTTTATCAGTAGCAAACATCTTAATTCATTTCAAAATTATTTAGAAACAATAGAATTTGGCTGAAGATGGACAGATAGTTTCTCAAACACAGAGTTATGGATAGAGGCAGCACTGCAGTGTCACGTCCATGACTCTGTCTTTGGCTTAATAGCCTAAACATAACAGTGTGGGTATCAAAGTGTTTGTGTGTTCGAAGATGAGAGAGATGCAATGTAAGGGCAGTCCTTTGCAGTATTACAAAACTGTGTCATAACTTAGTACCTAAAAGCTACGCACATTCCAAAGAAAGCCTATTTTCTATAAAAATGCGGACATTTCCTCCAAATCACAATTATATTATTCAAACATGTGTTTTGAAGCCACACTCACCTGTTTAATGCCTAGTCCTTTCTCATGCATGTATCCCAGATTAAACATAGCTTGTGCACTGTGTTGTTGCTCAGACGCCAGACGATAATGAATAAACGCAGTCTCGTAATCCACATCAGTGCCAAATCCATAGAAATGGTAGTCTCCAAGCTTAATTCTAGCCACAGTGTAGCCTTAAATAAAAGTTAAATGAAAACGGCCAATAAATAACGTGTGTTTAAAACAGACCAAATGACTATTTCTCCTCCTGTTAACAAGCTTACATAAAATAGAATTTTAATTTGTAGAACACAAACTTTATAACAAATCCTCAGCCAACCTATAAATTCAGTAAAAATTTAAACTAGAAGTGTTGCTCTTCTGAAGAAGGCTTTTTAACAGTCAGGCAGAGATAAAACAAGGTGGGTGGTACCCTCAATTTCACTAATAATACTCTTCAAATGATCATGCTCTATTCTATCGTGTCATTTATATTTAAAAATAGTTCAACTGGACCACTGTTTAGGCTTGGAGAATGGATGGGCAGACAATGCTGAGAGTAGTATATGTGAGAAAGAAATATTCAAATGAAAAAGAGTGGGGAAAGATCAGAATCTTTTGGGTTTTAGACTAATATTCTATTATACATTCTATTCAAGTCTCATTTTACATAATATACTGGCCTCAAACTAAAAACCAAAGAGTAAACCACAGCATGATATCAATGTCCAATACAAAGACCTTGCAATTCAATTTAGAAATCCCGCAACTAGAACTTTCATTTTAAGAACAAATACCAATCATGATGCAAACAAGTTAAGCAATAGTTAGTATCTCTGCTTAATTTCAAGGTGATAAATGACATGATTTTATCTTTATGGGAGATTAAAAAAAAAAACAACCAGCAGCTGGCCTGGAGGCACAGTGGTTAAGTTTGTGCGCTCTACTTCGGTGGCCTGGGGTTTGCTGGTTCAGATTCTAGGTGCGGACCTATGCACTACTCATCAAGCCATGCTGTGGCAGGCGTCCCACATATGAAGCAGAGGAAGATGGGCGCAGACGTTAGCCCAGGGCCAATCTTCCTCAGCAAAAAGAGGAGGACGGGTGGGGCTGGCCCGGTGGCGCAGCGGTCAAGTGCACACACTCCGATGCAGCAGCCCAGGGTTCGCAGGTTCAGATCCTGGGCGTGTACCGATGCACCGCTTGTCAAGCCATGCTGTGGCGGCGTCCCATATAAAGTAGAGGAAGATGGGCACAGATGTTAGCCCAGGGCCAGTCTTCCTCAGCAAAAAGAGGAGGATTGGCATTGGATGTTAGCTCAGGGCTGATCTTCCTCACACACACAAAAAAAAAAAAGAGGAGGATTGGCAATGGATGTTAGCTCAGGGCTAATCTTCCTCACCAAAAACCAAACAAACGAAACCAACAAGAAACAAAAAGAAAGGTCTCTGGGTGAAACTCTTATCCTAGAATTAACCAACCACTCACCTTGAGAGGCAGCCCTGTTCCAGTGCAGCAAAGCTCTGGGGTAAGTTTCATTCTCCCCTACGATGGTTGCTTCTCCTATGGGGAAAGATGAAATACAAACCAGGCATTTAAGGAAAGGCACTAGACTTTTAGGCTTCATTTGCAAACTAGGGTGGATGTGTGGAGCATAATTTAAACAAGAATTAGGATATAACAAATATTAAACGAAAAAAGTATTGTATTGAAATTATACAAGTATTAGAATAAAATACTGAGTTCAAAGGAACCACTGCATTCAGGACAACACTACTTCTTGAAACATGTTTTGTCCACAGAACTAATAATTAGACTAATTATTGAGCCACTTCTAGGGATCTACATACTGCTGGAAAACAATGTTTTTGTATCTGCTGTATTTTGAAAAATGCATTTATTGAAAGCAGTTAATTTTACGATGAATGTCAAATCTATTTCTACTGTCAACTCTAATTATAAAACTAACTTTGAAGGCTGAGAGATCTGAGGTAAAATAGCTTAAGTGATTTGCTACGTTTTTAGGCGTGTTAAGTTCTATTTACAGCAATAAAGAAGTTTCTTTGTGGCTTTTCTTTTTGAAGAGGTTAACCTGACATGAACCCTTGTATTCTAAACCCAAGGCAGGACGCAAATGAACCTTACTCTGATCCAGAATGAAGGCTGCATTGCTTTGTGCCACTTCGTAGCCTTGTTCGGCCAGCAGGAGATACTGGATCACGGCTGCGTTGTAGTCGCCATCTTTATAGCTGTTATAGGCAGTCATAAGCCTCTCGGACCAGCGGCCTCGTTCACATACATTCTTAAACAACTGTGAGAACAGGAAAGAAAAAAAAATCAATTAAAAAATAAGAAAGATATGCCAGAAAACCATTTTTGCACTTTGGCTATAAGTGATTGTTAAGCTTGCTCTCTGAATCTCTGGCAGTTTTATTAAATATATATAAAAGTCTGGGATGTTTATTTGAAGCTTTCACTTAGTCTTTAGAACAGGTTTATAAAAATAATAGCAAACAATTATACACCACTTACTCTGGCCAGGCACTGTTCTGGTGATTTATGCATAGTCTGTACATTAACTCACTTAGTCCTCCCATGAGGCTCGTGAGGGACCACTCTATGAGTTAAGTCCTATTAATAGCTCTTTTTTACAAGTGAGGAACCCCAAGCATAGAGAGGTTTAGAAACTTTGTTAAGCATTTATCAACATCACTCTGAAATGCCAGTTATGAGTGAGCTAAAGAAGAAAAATTCCAATAGGGAAATACTAGATTCCCCTTTGCTACATCTGTTTAACATACTCTTTTTTGACGCTGACTACATCTCAGATACTATCTTAGGTGCTAGAGAGACTGCAGACAACAATATCTGCCCTTGTAAACGTTGATTCTAGTAGGGAGAGACAAATGAAATAAATAAGCGTGATAGTAACACACAGACCCTCAGAGTCTTCCCTTAGTATATCTGTGTTAGCAGACTGAGTCTGCTTCTACTCTAGAGAAATCACGCAAAGAAAACTAGAAATAAAATGGTAGACCTTCTTATTGGGCAAATTAATTTCCTGTACACAAGTTGGTAGAAAACCCCTCACCTCCACTGCGGTGTGACACGATCTCATCACTCCTGTGCCGCTGGCATGCATCTGTGCCAGGTTATAGAAAGCCAGGATGTGGCCTCCCTGCGAGGCTAAGTTAAAATACTTCAAGGCCTGCTTATAATCCCTCTTGACTCCAATGCCATCTGTAAGGAAAACCACACAATAGGTTAGGAGTAGTCTTAAATAAGGTTTAGTTGAAGCATCAGAGAGGACTTACACAAGAAGCCTTACATAAGAAGCCCTACATAAGACTTTCATAAACTAAATGAAATTCAGAATTCTTACTCAGAAAAGACGTCAATCTTATTAATACAGATTTGTATATTAATACAGAAGAATATAATTTACAATGAAAAACAAGATGCACAAATCATTAAATTGGGAGAACATTAATCAGCCAGAATTCAAAAGCTCTCATTTCCCTATCATACTGGCATCTAGTGGAAAACAGGTAATTTATTTATTTATTTTGTGAGGAAGATCAGCCCTGAGCTAACATCGGATGCCAATCCTCCTCTTTTTGCTGAGGAAGATTGGCCCTGGGCTAACATCCGTGCCCATCTTCCTCTACTTTATATGGGATGCTGCCACAGCATGGCTTGACATGTGATGCGTTGGTGCGCACCCTGGATCTGAACCTGCGAACCCTGGGCCCCTGAAGCGGAGCACATGCACTTAACTGCTGCGCTATCGGGCCGGCCCCCAAAATAGGTAATTTAGATCTTGGTGTAGCCATCATTAATTCCAACGTTACTTACTATAATACATAGAGCCAAGCTGTAGTTGCCCATCCACCCAGCCTTGTTCAGCAGCTTTCTGGAAATACTTCAGTGCCAGATCATAATTCTGTAGAAAAAGAGATCACATGATGACAAAGCTCATGAGAAAGTTAGGAGATGCATTCATTAAAAAGAATGAACAAAGCACACATAAAATATTCTTGAAGAGTCACTGAAAGAATTACCTTCTAATTTTTTAAAATATATAGATGGTAATATACTTTAATTCATAGGGGGATATTTACAACTGTGAAGAAAAGCAAATAGAGTTTTTGTGAAACAATTGGTATGTCTGCTCTCAGAAAACGTCAACAACGCTAGTGGGACACAAGGCCAAGATTTAAGAAACAGTCAGATCTTTTCTATTAACCAACAAATCCTTTTTAAACATCAATTTTTCTAATATTAAAAAATGAAAATTATTCTCTCCCTATCCATTCCTTCCCTGTGTAGCTTATCAAACACTATATGACTATTAGATTTCAAATATCATACATATCCATAGAGAAAAATTAAAACAAAGATCATGACTGATTTTTAGTATCCTAAAATGACTAGAAGGAATCAAAATGAGAACACGTTACTGTCTTTTGTGCTACAGAATACCTGTAGATTAGAATCCTAAATCTAGCTCTTAGTTTCAGGCCCAAATTAAAATAACATATTGCTGGGAGAGATCATATAGAGGAGAGAAGAGGAAAGCAATGAAAATTCAGGGGTGTCCAACACAAGGAAGTAGCACAGGAGAATGAGAGGCAATGGCCCAGGAAAACCAACAGAGCTTGCAGTCACAGAACTCCAGCGAAGAAAGAGTTCAAGTGAGGAAGAACCAAAAAATGTCAACTGGAGTTGACATTTAGGAGGTTACTGGTGACCTGTACAGAGCAGTTACATGAGGCAGAAGCCTCAGTGCTAAGAGCTAAGGAGTGTCTGGAAGCAGCTAATATAGTTTATTTATTTATTTATTTATTTTTATTTATTTATTTTTTTATTTGGGCTGTGATTTTTATTTCAGCACATCACAAAAATATTAGTTGACAGCTTTGAGTAAATCCCATGCAACAGATACTACAATAAACACTAAATTCAATCGACTTACTCAGTCTTCCCAACCCTTCAAGATTGAAATTATTAGCACACAATAATACTACATGTTTTACAGATGAGAATATTCAAGATTACAGGAGTAAGTCATTTATCCAAGAGTTATGGACATCTGTGTCTTTTTTTTTTTTTTTTTATTGCAGTAACATTGGTTTATAACATTGCAAAAATTTCAGGTGTACATCATTGTACTTCTATTTCTGCATGGACTACATCATGTTCACCACCAAAATACTAATTACAACCCATCACCACACACATGTACCGAATTATCCCTTTCACCCTCCACCCTCCCCCCTTCCCCTCTGGTAACCACCAATCCAATCTCTGTCCCTATGTGTTTGTTTATTGTTGTTATTATCTACTACTTAATGAAGGAAATCATACGGTATTTGACCTTCTCCCTCTGACTTATTTCACTTTGCATTATACCCTCAATGTCCATCCATGTTGTCACAAATGGCTGGATTTCGTCGGTTCTTAATATAGTTTATTCTCTGGAGAAACGTGGCTTTGCAGTGAAGGGCTGGGGAGAAGAGAGATGGCAGCTAGGAGGAGAAAGGGTAGAATAGAAAGCTTTCCTCCTCCTAAATGGGAGGGACTTAAGTATTTTCTTAGGCTTGAGTGAAGAAGCAGCAGGGAGACGTTTAAGTCTTGGAGAGATGGAAGAGTTGGTAGGAAGAAAAACGAGAAACAGCTTCACATTTTGAGGAGAAGGTGCCAGACAGAGCCAAGAAGGCAGTTGGGATGGCGGGTACGGGGCAAAGAGTGGTAGGGAACCAAACTCAGAGACAACAGGAAAAGGGTCAGCTTTGGTTAGAATGAAATAACCTCACCTGGGCTAACTGGAAGCTAGTTAAGGAATACTTCCCTACCTCACCAGCTGACTGCTTATTCAAGTTAGAGTGTTAGATTCGAAACTTACAACTTGAACCCCTCTCCCATAGAGGTAAGCCATTCCAAGCCCACTCTGTCCAACTGGGTTGCCCTGCAAACCAGAGACAAAAGGGTGAAAGGATTCATTAAAAAATAGGCAAGAATAAATGACTGCAAAAGAAATAATTTACAAGCATATTCAAAACATGTCTTAGCACTTTTCAGTTCAAAACAGAATTTTCTCCTTCTCATTAGGCTGAACATAATACTGACTTTTAGAGATTTGGGGGCTTTCAATAATTTGATGAAAAAGAGTAAACAGTAAATTCATTTAGAACTAAATTTTGGTGACTTACCTTATGACCAGCTGTTTCATGAATTTATGAAACAAAACATGACTAATGTATTTCATCTTTCTAAAAATAAAAGTAGGTCACTTTTTTTGGCAGTTTTTCATTGGTAACCTCCCTCCCCAATAAAGAAGATGCCATGGGGTACTGTCAACAACCATTAATAAAAGCAATATTGGGATTAGCTGGCAAAGATATGCTTAAGATTACTGATGTGTCATGGAGCAAAGATAATCACCGTCTTGAGACCTAAAAGAGAAAAATCTGGAATTCACCTAAACTCAGAGGGACAGAAGGCATCTTTTAAAAAAGTGTCACAGCCCTTCTTTGGGAAATACTCAACTGACATTTAGAACTACAGTAAGGCGTAGTTGGCAAAGAGATAAATGTACACACTGGAGGTATATGGGGTCTTAAGTATTCATACGTAGTATTCTTTGGGCCAAAGAAAGCCTAAATTACGTATTATGATTATCAAAAGTACCCAATTATGTAAGTTTTAAACCTCAAGTTGCAATACAAATAGGATAAAATATATAACTCTCAATTCCATTACTAAAATCAATAGTTCCCTGATCAGGAAACCTCTTAATGAAATTGAGACTGAGACTTAATATTCAATAATTTTCTTCCTAAAAAAAAATAAATTGCTTTTTATTGGGAAGGTTTTTCTAGTCAATCCATTCAAATGAATCATATTTAAATAAGTGCTTTCAATAATTTATGGCATGAGTTGGTTATGACTAATCCTTAAATATAATAAACTTATTTATTAAAATAATAGCAATATGGTACACATTTCAATACACTGAGTCATGAGGTCTTACCATGTCAGCAGCTTTCTTAAAGTAGTGAAGAGCTGTCTCATTACTTTGAGGTACAATATCACTTCCCTCTGAGTACATCTGGAAAACAGATCCCAATTTTATTAAGAGCTATAACCCTCTCTCCAATTACATTTTTCTCCTAACTCATCTTATTCTGGTTTTTGTTAGGTCTCATGAAATCTTTCAACCAAGTTTAAAATTCCCCACAGGATATTTTAGAATTAAAAGCAAAAACCTTAAAAGTAAATACTTTCATATCATTATATATTCTATGTCATATCAAATTTAGGACTTACCTATAAACATGAATATATAAATCAGTTCACAGGTCAATCTCAGGAGAAGATTTTCATCTCTAACCCCAAGATGAATCTCTTTCTCACTCTATTCCAAGGCAGTCAGATGGGTGATAAATTGCTGGGATCAGTGATTAAATGAGGAAAAGGAGAGCTGTCAGCTATGTACACTCTCCTTTCTCCTCTACCACTAGTGTCCCCAGGATGAGATAAAGGGTAGGTCTTAAGTTTAGGAAAAGAAATAACTAAAAGGTTATTTTAAAAGGTTTCAGAGACTGAATGATTAGAGTATCAGGTATGGACCCTGATAAAGGGCCAAGAGAAAGAACAGAATGACTAATACTGTTTTTATCCACGTACACATTAAGAAAACAAAGAAAATCATTTTCTGAGATAGGGCTAATTAGTAATTCAGAGCAAGACTATGAAATGAAAAGTTCTTCTATGCTTAACAAAAATAGATAGGAAACACCAATTTCTATGCTGTAATAGTTAGAATGTGTAAATATAAAGTTCTCAGGCCCCAATTAACTAGTTGTGATCATGTGGCAAATACTGATTAGATTTTTCTGTTTGTAAAAACTTTCAGGATACATTTTATCTGAGCCTCCTAACCTTAGGAGTTGGTTATAGATGAAACTATCCATTGGTTTACACTGTATTCATTTTCAAAATAATGAAAAAGGAAGTTTGAGATTGTGCTGTGACATATGGACTCTACTCAGTAAGTCGCTAGACGTAAATGTTTCCTTGCTTGAGAAAAGAACGTCACTGAGAGGTAGGCGATGGCTGTCACATTTAAGACAATTAAAAGGTCTGCAGATAAATTCCAACAAACTCTAATTGCCTCTATTCAGCATGGAAGGAAACAGGCAATTATGAGACAGCAAAAAACTGCACAGAATAAAGAATAAATTCCTTATTATTGCATACAATACACAAAAAGTAGGAGTTCAGACAGCGATAGCTAATTTTAACGGAGAATTAACATACCAATGAGTAAATGCTACATTACATTTAAGTTATCTAAGAAAATGTCTCAGAATAGCACTTACTTTAAGACAAGATACAATATTCTTGCATTGAAAATTTTATTTCCAGTTTATTTTTGGTAAATTGTAGATCTTGAATACAATATGTGCTTACCATGGAAACACCTCTTGCTATCATATAACACATTCACAGGATGTACGTACCTTTCCCAAGAAGGCCATGGCATGTGAATTGCCAGCATTAGCTGCTAAATTGAAATAGTCAAACGCTCTCTGTGAGAAAAGAATTCATTAAAATAATTAGTTTTTAATAGAATCTGCTCTTGGCTTTTAACCAAAATAATTATTTCAGGAACATTTAAAAAATCTTGTTAAATCACAGTATCTCAGTTTAAGTAAACGGCAACACCACGTTGCTCAAGGTACCCACCCCTCCTCAGTCTCATATCCAATCCATCACTAAGTCCTGTCACTTTTACCACCAAATACATCTTGAATCCATCTACCATCCTCCATCCCCACAATTCTCGTCTAAGCTATGTTATCTCTCACCTGAACTTCTGGAATACTCCCCTCCCTGATCTCCCTGCTTTTATTCTTGGGGTCATCCAAAGTGACTGCTCGTAAATTTCAACCTGCTGGTCCTTACCGCCCCCTGAAGTGTTGCAGGGAATATACTGACGTGATCAGATACTGCCTATCTCAGTATTGCTTCATCTCGCTTTCTGCACTCAGAGTATACCAGCCCTGTCCCTTCCTGCCTCAGGACCTATGGACATACTGTTCTTTTTGGCCTGGAGTCATCTTACCTCTAGGCTCAACTTAAATGTCATCCACTTCTCCTCAGAGAAGTCTTCCCTGACAACTGCCACCTCCCACTGGTTAACCTACTATCGGACCCTTTAATCCTCCTCCTTACCAATAATCACAATTCGTTAAATATTTGTTGGTGTGATCATCTTTAAAATATCTAATGCTTCTATTAAACTTGAAGCTCTGTAAGGACAAGGACCAAAGGTATTTTTTCTAGCATTGTATCCTGAAAGCCTAGCAGTGAATGGCACATAGTAGGTACTCAAATATTTGTTGAATTGATGCAATTACATATCGGGAACTCCTTTTCTTCCTCCTGTGAAGCTGGTGAAACCATTTATCATTGTGTAGTTTCTTCACACGTAGGCAGCACACCACCACCAAGAGTATCCCCAAACTTGTGTAAAAGATAGGCAGTAAACTCTTATCCAGAATTCTATTCTCTCGCCTGATATTTTTATCAACCAGTTCATCTGATGCTTCACTGGCCTAATGACATACATTTTAATGACCTACAGACAGTGAAAGCTGCCAAAAGGCCATCTAAGTAAATAAATAAAAAAAGCATAGATATTTGGTATAGTTTTAGTGATAAATGTATTTTGTTATGATGTAATTCTTAAGTGTTGATGGGGTATAGTATATGAAATAACCTTAATTAGAACACTTAACTGGCATGGTAGAAAAACAGAGTTGTATTAGTCTGACAAACACTTATTGGCAACTTACTAAGTGCTAGGCACTGTCAGGTGCTGGGAATAAAAGTGGCAAACAAGGCAGGCACAGTCCATGCTCTTTTGGACCTTACGTTCTAGCAGAGGAAATAACTTAATTACACAATTAGCTAATTTACAAGGGACAAGGGCTACAAGGAATACAGATTTTCAGAAATCATAACTGTGGTACACGGCCTATTCCAGGAGCAGGATCAGGAGTCAAGTGAGACTTGTTAGAGGAAGAGATATTAACAGTTGAGTTCTGGAGGATGAGTAGGAATTAGCTACACGAAGAAAGAAGGGGGGGCTGATATTCACTCTAGACTGAGGGACTAGCATTCCAGAAGTCCTGAGACAGGGAGTTTCTTAATATTTTCAAAGACCTGAGAAAAGGTCCGTGTGCCTGTGACTCAACGCAAGGGGCTGGTGAGGTAAACAGACTGGTACCAGGCCTTGGAGGTCATGTTAAAGGTTCTGGTCTTTAAACCAGTGGAAGTCATAGACCACTCAAGAGTTTTAAGCAAGGGAACCAGACGATCAGATGTGCAGTTTACAAAGACAGGCTCTTGCTTAGGAAATGCAAGCAGTAGATGATTCACACAGTGACAAGTGTACTGATGGAAAGAAGGGAAGAGATAAGCGATACGTAGGACATAAAGCAGACAAAAGTTGGTGACTGGATATAGAGTTGACTGCTATAGTTCTATACTCCTAATTTCTCACAAACTCAACATTGAATTTTCCTCAGTTCTATGAAAAGTTTTCCAATGGGAGTTTTAAGACATACTTCTATCACATACCTCTAGAAAACCAAGACATTGCTCATGTATTTTCAGCAATATTGAGAACTAGGTGTTACAATTAATAAAACCTTTCCCACCACTGTATGGCATAATCACATTTTTATTCTTCAGCTTCCTCGGGGGTTAGTTAGATCTTGAAAGCTCATTTGTGATGGTTGTCTTAATAACACAAGCTTGACGTTATCATTGACTTAGGAACAAATACATGTGGAGAATCATTTCTTGTTACAACAGGAAGCGCAAAGCTCGATGAACAGAAAGGTACCTGATGATTTTGTTCCACTCCACGCCCTCCGTGCAGATGCAGTTGTCCCAGACCAACCTGAAAATTAACCAAAACGAGGCATAAGTAAATGGTAGCATCTAGCAGGTAATTAAATTCGATCAACAAAAAACCATTTGATCATAAAAAGGTTTCTGTTCATAATCAAAAAATTAAAGATTTAGTCTTAACTCCTGAAGATATTACCCTACTTTAACTAATTTATATTTTTTAAAAACTAAAAATGTCTGCTTTTAATTACAAGGTATCCTTCTAAAATGGAGGTGAGATAAAGGCATTTTCAGACAAACTAAAACTGAACTGAACTGAACAGACAACGCCAATGAATCTACTTTAAAGGAAATACTGAACTGTTCTTTAGGAAGAAGGAAAATTATCCTGGGAAGCTCAGAGATGGAGTAAGAAATAAAGAACAATGGAAAAGTAAATTTGTGAGCAAATGTAAATTATATGGACTACATAGAGTAATATTTGTGGCGTTAAAAATACATAAATTAAAACACATACAAGTACTGTAAAGCTGCATTGTCCAGGAAATGGTGAAAGTGCTTGTTCATATTAGACTTTGATAAAAGGAGTAGTAGAAGAATGTCTATCATGCCAGTAGAGGAGAAGAGATGCAACAGCAAAAAACACTCACACCAAAAGAGGGTAAGAAAGGAGAGAAAAGGGAATGTGGAAAAGCAAAATAAAAGCAAGTAAGATAGAAAACTTAAACCCAAATATATCATTAATTACTTCAATAAATGACTGCCAGAATGGATAAAAAATAAACAAACTAGTCATACGATGCTTACAAGAGACATACATACCTTAAACATAAGAAGGTTGAAAGTACAAGATAGAAAAGATATTTTGGGTAAGAATTAACCAAAAGAAAGTTGTGTAGCTATGCTAGTACTAGGCAAAGTACAATTTAAAGCAAAAAACATGTCTAGAAATGAGAGAGGACATTTCGTGATATGAAAGTTAGTTCCACAGAAAGATAACAATATTAAGTCTGTATATAGTCAATGTGGCCTAAGGCGTATAGATCAAAATTGACAGAACTAAAAGAAGAAAGAGACAAATCCACAATCAGAGTGGGAAATTTAAACAATATCGTCTCAGCACTGGACATAAAGGCAAATTCAGTAAGGATTCAAAAGATTTCAACAACATGATTAAGAAACAGGACTCAACTGACACATATAGAACACTGTACCCAACAGCTAGAGAATTTCTATTCTCTTTAGCACACAGAATATTTGCCTAAACTGACCAAGTGATGGGGCATAAAGCAAGTCTCAAGAAATCTCAAATAACTGAAATCAATACAGAGTATATTTGGACCACAGTGGATTAAGCTAGACATCAATATCATAAAAGTTAAGTAGAAAATCCCCATGTACATGGAAACTAAGCAATTCACTTCTAAATTACATGTGGGTCAAAAGAAATTACACTAAAAATTAGAGCTAAATGTAATGAAAATATGAGAGTGGGAGAAAGTATTCTACCAGATATGAAGAGCTATAAAGCTATGAAAATTTAAGACAGTATTTGCACAAAGACATGTATGAGAATATGCACAGAGTGTTATCGGCAAAAGCCCAAATCTGGAAAGAGTAAAATGGACAAATTGCAGGATTTTCATACAATGAAATCCCATATAGCAATGCAAATGAATGAATTACAGCTATATGAAAATACATGGATTAATTTCAGAAACCTAATGCTGAGCAAAAAAGTTGATACCAAAAAAATGCCGTATGATCTTTTTTTTAATAAGATTCAAAAACAGGCCAAACCAATCTATAGTGTTAGAAGTCAGCTCAGTGCATTACCCATGGGGAGGAGGGGGGAGTTAGTGATGAAGAGTTCTGAAGAGGGGCTTCTGGGGTTCCAGTTACGCCACACAAGAGGCTCACTTGGTAATAATTCATTGAGCTGTACATTTCAGATTTGTGTACTTTTCTGTATTCATGTTATAATTCAATAAGTAAAAAAAAAAAAGAAAAAATGATATATACATGGATTTTTTTTTAACTTGAGTTTTTCACTTAATACATTGAAATCAGCTTTCCACATAAAGTAGTATTCTACATAATTTTTAATGGCTACATAGAATTTCACTATACTGGAGTGTCATATTTGAGCTAAATATGACATGCTCTATCATTGGGCATGTAGATTGTTTTGAATTTTAATTGGTCTCTAATGTAAAAGAAAGATGTTTAATTGGACAATATAACTTGATTATAATTTCCGTGAGCTAAGATTTGGATTTATCTTTCACTGGAGTTTTTTTTTAACTTAAGACTCCTCTCTGTTAGTCTTAAAATTAATTGTTCTTAAAAAGTATTGCTCATCTCTATATATTTCTAAATCAGAAAGAACTGTAAACTTAATAGCAAAAAAGACACTGATGTTCTCTTTTATTTTAATATCAAAATTGCCCACAAAACAATAAATTATACAGGATACAATTTACATTAAACAAGCCTACTTCTGTCCTTGACCTTGAGAAGATTATGGTCTAAGATGAGCAAAGGAAACATGAACAGTAAATAGCTTTGAAGAGCACCCGAAATTCCAAACATTCCAGAGACTTGTTTTCAGAAAGTGACAGTTTCCGTCCTTGGCTACTCCAGTGAGAGCCTTCATCGTCACTGTAACACTGCTCCGTTCAAGCACTGGTTTTCAACTGTGGTGCACAGTAGAGTCACACCTGGCCAGCTTTTAGGAACGATCAATGCCTAGGCCACATCCCAGATGAATCCAAATGGAACGTCTTGAGAGTGTGGGACTAATATGTAGCTAATAATAATGTAGCTAACAACTGCTCAGAGCAATGAAAATGTTACTTACAGACATAAGTGCTTGCCCCCAGAGACTGTAACATACAACACAGTAAGACATCCCATGAAATGTTTAAACACATACCTGTGCTTGGACATCACCTTTTTCAGCTAGGAACTGGTAATACTGAATCAAATCTTCTTCTAGCATTCCACTGTTCATTCCTGGATTTTCCACTTCGTCAGGCAGCCGGATTCTCTGTACCACTGAGCCTCCCGTCAGCGATATATCACTAGCAACTGAAACAAGGGACAAAGCAATTATGTGGATGAAAGTCAGAATTGACCCACAGAGAGAAATACAATCCCAGCTGCCAAATGTTGACAGACAATATGTTAAAGGAAACTGTTTCTATAGTAGTCTACAGGGCACAAAATAGTAATCTAAACTAAATTCAGTTTTCTTCCACTAAATATTTAAGAAGTGGAACCCAAAGCAAAATTAGAAAAAAAAAAGTACTTCTGAATCAACTAGTGTAAAGATGGTTCCACTTGAGACAGCTATTCACAATATTTCAAGTATCACAATAAAAATAGATGCGTTTAAAATTAATTCTACAATTATTATTTTTTTTGGTAAGGTGAAAGGCAAAAAAATTGATACCATGATTGGCAACAAGACGATAATGAGTCAGTGCCGATTCACAACTCTGGAGGACTCCAATGCCAGCCCAGTATCGGTAACCCTGAAATACAACTTCAAGTGAGGAGACAGTTTCATGTGCTTCAGTGGCATTCTTTGTGGGACAAAGCTAACCAAACTCAGAATAAATTTTCTGTCCTTTGATCCAAGTACACCATCACCTCATTTATTCTGAGTTTTAGGTTCTGAGGTAATTTATTCAGCAACTTGAACAACCAGACTATAGCTAAGAACTAGGAAATAAAGTTCCTAGAGAAATCAAAACAGATGCCAACAACTTTATGAAGTGTGCTCATTTTACCTGTAGGACAAAATTACTTAGGTTCTTTAGAACAGATTTGAATCATATTTTAGACACAATTTTAACAAAAATAGGTTAATCTTCCAAACCAGCAAAGAAGCAACAAATTAGCAAAATCAGGAAGACAAGAGACTACTAGAAGCAGGCACAACAACACCAGCAACAAATGACTTCAGAATTGATGCCAGCCCTGATATCAGTTCCCCTACGTTAAACTCAGGATATATGGGGTTAAAACCAAAAGCACTCATCCCCTTTCCCTGTTTCTCTAAGTTATATTCACATGTAAATATTGTTTTTTTAAAACTTTTGTAACCCTGACCTTCACAAGGCAGATAGAACTTACAAATTGTTAAAAGTCCAGGGAACCTCATGCTGGGCTCACACAGAAGTTTTGGCTAATTACCAGTTCTTGAGGCTTGTGACAGGGAAACTGATATCCAGAGAATATCAAGAAGCTGAAGCTTCCAGACCCCAACTCCTTGGCTTCCTGGCACCAGAATCTACCCTCCACCACAGAGGCAGACAACCAAGGACACCCACCCGCGGATTCCCTTATCTCACCACCCTCCTTCCTGCAAGCAGCCTCATAAGGCCAAATGCAGGCTGGAGGGAAGGCGCCAACCAGCAAGGCCACAGGCTCCCCCTCCCTACAAGCAGCCACATTCCTCGAAACCTTTAAAACCCCTTGCCTCCCATCTTCTGGGCAGACGGGACTAATTTGAAGGCTCACTTCTGTCTCCCGGCTGACGTCACCCGAAATAAAAACCCTTTCCTTGCCATAAGCCTGGCGTTCCAGTTTTTATTTGGCCCCTCTCGTGTGGCAGGTAAAGAACCTGTGTACGTGACCAGTAACAGAATCAGGGGGAAGATAGCTAATTATAAAGAGCAGAAAATAGAAAGTAGAGCTCTCCAGAGTCATTTAGCACAGACTCAAATAACTTTGCAAACGTTAACAATCCTTAGGGTATTACTGTACAAAAACGGGTAATATTTAATGTTCTTATTCTGTAGCCACTATTTAAGAAGATTGGTAAACAATAAAAAAAGATTCTGTCAAAAATATTTAAAACATACTTTTGCCATACAAAAATGTTTCATATTTCTTGAAAATGCACCTAAAAGGAACTTAATTACTGTTTAAGGAATAAATGTTACTGTAGATTAAAAAACGAATGAAAAGAAAGAACTTCAAAATTAGTGAGGGATGTTTCAGAAAGTCAGAGCAATACCCTTGTTTTTCACTTGCTTAAACTCCTTCAGCGGTTTACCCCTGTAACGGGACAAAGTCCAAACTCCTTGGCACGACGTACAGCCGTTTACATGATTCCTGTCTACCTGCTCTGCTGATGAACGACTTGGCACTCTCCTCTCCAGCCACACTACAGTGCTTGCGTCTTCTTGCAAACGTCACATTCCCTCTTGTCACTGTCCCTTTGCACATAGGGCTCCTGCTGCCTGGACTCCTTTTTGCTTCTTCCATGAGTAAGAGGTTATGTGACTTATCCAAAGTCAGTTTATAAAGCAGAAGGCAGATTAAACACCTCAGCAGAAAAGAATTTGGTGGAAAGATTCTATATTTACCAATAAGCCATTTAAGTGATCAATGCCATCAGATAACACAGAAGAGATATGCTTAAATGAACTTTATAGGACACAGTTCTCTGTATAGTAAGTCTTTCATCAATTTAAATGTAAAATCAGTGTAACCCAATCTGAAAAATCATTCTAACAATTCCACCTTATAGAAAATTTAAAAAGAGCCATTTATCAGACTTCTATTTTAAGGGCAATCAGCAAAACTAACCATTTTAAAGAAAAATTGTGGACTCTCCCAATTTTCAATTTGTTGTATCCATTAACTAGAATTTGAAGGCAGTTCAACTGAATATTTGGGCTTAATGAATATAAGTAAATCTCAATCATGAAGGCTAGACAAGTTGTGGCCACTTGTAAACCACAAACTCTGCTACCCAATGTTATTAGCCTTCCACATAAGTCTTACTTACCAAAACCATGTGGGCTATGAGGTTGCCCCCAAGAGCTCCAAAAGTATAATATACAAGGGCCTGTGAAAGAAGAAAAGATGCGTAACTGAACATGGGCACATATTTACTCAATTCAAATTGCAGTATACAATAAAGTTTTAATAGTTTTACCTTTGCCTGACTTGAATTAACACCAAGTCCAGAGGCATAGAGAAAGCCAAGAGCCTGAAATAAAATGAGAAAAGTAAGAATTCCTCCTTTGGTGGAAGTTTATCCAAGACAGACATAGTTTTATGAACTATGAAAAGATGCACAATCTTTAAATGCTAGAAGATTTGAACTGCACGGGTATGCACAATTGTGGAATTAAAGGGCCTTAGAAATGCATTCAAGATTTTACAAAATACACAATGAACTATAACTTTAAACAAGTCAAAAAGTTTAGCCTGAAGATCAAAGACAATTTAATGAAATATTAACTAGAAAAACAAAGCTCCACACACTTAAACATGGCTTTTACTTTATCTTGACTAACAGCTACTATGAGAACAAAACAACTCCTATGTCAGTATGTCAACATATTATCTGCTTATGCAAAGGGGGATACACAATGAAAACAGTCAAGAGATTACCAAGACACACTACCCCAGGAATAAAAAGAGGCTGCAAGGGGTCAAGGGAGAAAGGTCACTTTACAATGCTAGAGCACACACCAGTTAAAAACAAACAAAAAAACCCAACCAACCAAATAATGCATTGGTAAGGTTCTACCCTTTGTCTTCTGAGGATCACCCTTGATAACATGAAAGTATAAGCTAAAGTTATAAAGGTAGAAATGGCAGGTGCCAGGGCTCATCAAAATCCATGAGCTCTTCTACATTTCCCAGCCTCCCTTGTAGTCAGGTAGAGCCACGTGCCTGTGATGTGGCCAGAAGGGACGTAAGCCCTTTTTAGGCCTGGCTCTTAAAAACTTCCCAGAGAATCCTCCAGCCCTCCCTTCTCCCTTCACAATGCCTTGGAAGCCCTGTGTTCCAGACGGTGTAGCTAAACGACAGAAGCAGCCCTTGACCCTGAGTCCCCACTTGGAAGAGAGTGGTGCAGGCAGGAGAGCTGCAGAGAACCTGGCATGAACAAGAAACAACTCTTCTCAGTGTTAAGCCACTGTGATTTTGGCACTTTGTTTCATCAGTTAGAATTAATTACCATGGGGAGGGAGCTTTACAACATCTATAGCACTGAGGCACTGTAGGGTTCTATTATTAGAGGGAAAATATGCCTTAAAAGTAAAACCATTCTTCAGAGCAGAATGTGTCTGAAGATAAAGACTAAATGTGTGAATTTCATATAAACTGATTTATGCAAAGAAGGGAAAAAAGGTTTGGAAACAAAGAGGCGCAATTAAGATATAACCTGTTTATGAACTAAAACCAAGACTACATAAGACTTGCAGACTGGTTAGGTATTCAGTCCTATAGAAAACAATGGTCAGTTTCTGTTATTGTTTAAACAGTCTGGAAACAGACTTCCTCTAACTATGACTAGATATTTTGTTTTATCTTTAAGCAAATCCCACACCTTCAATAAACCTGAATTATTGAAGGCATTTTAAATGAAAGTGGTGGTCCCCTAAATCCAGGCGTCAATCTTACCATTACCAATGGGGAATCAAGCAGGTATTATGTATCAACTGGTGTGATGCAATATGGAATACAGAACATCCCCTATAATGCAGTCTAGCCAAAAATACTTTCTGTTCATCAGCCTTTAGCTGTGACATCCAGTTTATAAGAAATATAGATGACGAAAAAACAAACTAGAGGACAGCATGAAGAAGCAAATGGACAAACTGAAGTAGGACATTCTCCAGAAAAACTGGCCTTATCTCTAACACAGAAAAAAAGAAAGACAGGGGCTACGCTAGAAATAACAACCAATATAAGATGTAGTCCTGGACTGGAGACTGCTTTGGATAAAACAGGGATAAAGAAAATGTTCTAGTTCAATACCATATGAATATGGTATGGCTATTATATGATGTAAAAATTTACTAGAATGGAAAGGTGAAGGCTGTTTATTGAAAAGAGCAAGTTATGGAACAGTAGACGGTGACATTTTATTTTAATAAAGAACTCACACGTACATATACACCAAGAGAAAGGTCTAGAAGGGTATGCATGCACTAACATGGTACCAATGCTCATGTCTGGGTGATACATATGTGATGTTTACTTTTTCAGTTTTTTTAGTTTGTATTTCTAGTTTCCTACAATGGACATGCACTGCTTCTTTAATAAAACATTTCTTTTAAAAAACACCAAGATTAACAAGAGCTGGATCATCTGAACTCTGGAAAAAATGCAATGGTGAGTAATTTCAGATAAAAAAACAGAGAATTACCTTCCTGTTTCATTCTCTACATATCTAATTTGGAAAACTACAAACATAATTGTGGCAAAATGCAAAAACACCTTAAGTGAATATAAATGTTCTCAGACTAAGGAAATGATCTGCACAAAATTAATATTTAAAGATATTTTGCCTTCCAGTCTTGTCAAAAGAAGTCAGGGTATAAAGAGTAAACTGCTGTTAAAATAAACAAGTGCTGTGTGCTGAGAGATTCTCCACTGAAAGTACACTTACAGTTTGTCCCTTGGGAGAGCCTTCCTCAGTCAATTTCTCAAACATCTCTTTAGCTGCCTGAATATTCTGTGTCAGGTAATCACCAAACAAAAGAGCATAGGACACTCTCTCCAGGGCCTTGGTATGGTTCATGCTTGCTGCCTTTTGAAGATACCGATATGCTCTTTAAATGAAAGGAATTAAAAAACAAATTAGCAATATTTTGGAACTGCCATTAAATTTTTTCTCAAGATCTACTAAAATGTAGCATAAGTAATTTCTTTATTCTATAGAATCCCTCTGACATCCTATTATTTCTACTAAGTCATATTACTTATGTATAGAAAAAACATGCTGGCTACTTTGTTTTTATGTAAGGTACCAGTTCTCTCGGTTATCCTGATATCTTAGAAGGGTCTAATTACACTAATAGTAATTCTAACAACTTCTATTAAAAAAGTTAACTAGATTTGCAGTGAGAGAATTGTAACAATATGGTGTCCAGTAAATATCCAACGATATGATAACCGTTGCAATTTTCTTGTTAAATCTCTACACAGACTATAATAAAAATCAGCTGAAATTAAAGGGACATAAAATGTCAGAAGACAGTCACTTGTTTTATGATTTTTCCAAGTACAAATTCCTAAATTTTGCAAGAAAATTACAAAGCAAAACCAAAACACAAAACACCTGACAACAATTCCTTTTGTTTGTTTTATGTCATTTTAAATTCTGAATCACATAAGTATTCTTCGTTCTCAGAAACTACTATAACTTCAGTCAATTATTTCCATTTTGCTCATTGTTCATTCGTGGGACCAGCAGTTATAACCTTTTTATCCCAACAAGCTAAAATCTGATAAAAGCAATACCACTAACATCCACATATCATATTAAGTTTTCTTGTAACGCAACTTAAGAAATCCTGTCTTTGGCAGAATACTTAAAATAAAAAGTTTTTAGCTATTTGTCTCAGTAATGGCCCATCTTAGGGGAGGAACAGACTTGGCTGTGCTACCTACTCTCTTTTTTGGCTTTTCTTATTGCTTCCATTGAGGATTTTCATCCCAGTCTGGTACATCATTTCAGCTTCCTGCATTTGCCGTCTTTTAGCAGCCTCTTCTTCAGCTAAAAACAAAAAGTAGATACACTTAAATGGATTTTAATTCTACACCAATTATTTATCAAACATCAATACCGATTGTTTCTTTTCGGCAGTCATGCAAACACAGTTAATGATCATTCACTATTTCCATTATTTTGAAAATGTTATTTGGTATCAAAGGAGGTATGTTCATGATTTTCCATTGTTCTTTTATAGTTAGAAAGTTTTTCCTGAAAACATAACTTGCCTTTAGAGCTCAAACCCTTTATAGTGACATTAACATTTAGGATGGTTAAATATACTATATTTATCAAATATTATCTTAGCACAGTACATTTCACTCAAAGTATTTTAAAAAGGTATTATTTATTTTTCTTCTAACCACTATTAACCTTTGCCATAATGTTCTGTTTCCTTTACTGCCAAAAAATGTTTTACGTTAATTAATTTAGCAGCCTGCCTGAGGGTTTCAGAACAACCTGTGCACACCAACAGAAAACCATCTCTAAATAAGACACGAGTGTGATAAGCTGCCAAGTGACAGTCTGGAAATAAGTAAGTACACAGCATAATTCCTGCTTTTAAGTCCATTCTTTAAGGTGATAACCAGGTTATCAATACTGACCATTTCTGACCAAGGTGGAAAAAGGATGGCTAGAAAAAGGCCATAAAAATGTTGCCTGAGATATAAAGCAATATGGACATGCCTCCTACTGAGAAATACTTACTTTCACAAAAGCCCCACTTTTCATCTGCCTTGTAGTCATAGGTTGTAGCACACCACAGTCTGCCATCTTCCCTCCCATCTGATGTACATTCATCATATTCTTTATCCAGGAAAAGAAAAGGAAAGTGGCAGGGCTCCCCATGTGCTGTGCCTTCAATGGCAGTCAAAGCTGGAAAGATAAGAAAAAAAAAATCTAAACATGAACAGCACCTCTGGCATTCAGGGAGTTAACACTGTCAATTTCAACTATTAGAATTGGAAGATGAAGATACATGATTTGTAATGGGGAACATAAAGGGCCAGCACTGATTCTGTTTAGGGATGACTTGAGGGTGAGTCAACTTAGTGAGCATGGCTAGCTGACTTCCCAGTTTGATATCTAGCTTAGAGTTTCTGAAAGTCTTGAGATATAATAACCTTAGAATGTTCAAAGTCTACTGTAAAACTCCTGCCCAACTAGTGAGCAAAAAATCAGGCAAATGCAACTGAATCAACTCCACCATTCAGCACAACTCTCCTTTTTCCTATCTGAATGATGTCAGTCAATTTCTTCGATAAGAGAAAGTTATACAGGGAAAATGCTCTACTAGGCAAAGTTAATCACTCATATACTCTTCTGTGATCCTACAGCATTTTACTAGAGTACTTATCACAAACACTGAGGTTCTTTCTTTACCATACTCTAGCTCCTACTAGACTTTGAGCTTGTTAAGAGTAAAGACCATATCTCTGATTTGTTCTATAAGTTCTTTTCAAGTATCTCCTAGGTGCTGGGAATTAGGCTAGGCACTGGAAATGAGGTGGAGCTGGGGTCTCTGCTATACAGGACTTACTGTCTAGCAAGGAAGAGAGACATTAAATGGAAGTGTGATCGATGTTATGCAAAGGAAAGCCTTCCCTGTCAGGAAATGAACCTTACACTGAACCTCACGGATGTGCAGGAGCAAGAGGTGGATGAAACGCTGCAGGGTGGAGTGGGGAGAAGTACTGTAGACAGAAGAACAGTGCGTGTGAAGATCAAACGAAAGAGAGCATGGCACATTGGAGAAAATAAAGAGTGTAGTATGTCAGAACAAGTAGTGTGAGTGCCAAAGCGGACAAGAGAAGAGGCTAAAGAAGCATGAAGAAGCCAGACCAGGGAGGTGTGACAATCTTATTAAGGAGTTTGGACTTTATCCTGAGAACAATGGAAACTCACTCAAGAGTTTTAAGTAGGAGTGACATGCTCATACGTACATAAGAGGGTGGACAATGGAATGAAGGGAAGCAAGGCTGGATGCAAGGTGACCAGTTTAAAGGTTGTAACAGTAGTCTAATTGGGAGGTAATGGCAGCCTGAGGAGGACAATGGGATGAAGAAGTGGATGTACTCAAGTGACGCCACAGAAGTGGATACGGTACTACTTACTGACTGCCTAGATGTGCAGATGAGAGGACAGAGGAGTCAAGGAAGGCTCCCAGGTATTAGGCTTCAGGAAGTGAGTAGATGGTTGTCCTTACTAAGATAGAGAACACTAAAGGAGGAGTAGGTTACTGAGTAGGGATAAAATAGATCAGGAGAGAGACAAGTTAAGCTTTGATCTTGCTACATTCAAGATAGCTATAAAAGAACAAAACAAGTGAAGATGTCTCAGACATCTATTCAGTTGCAGCCAAAGAGCAAGTTCTCCAGTTATAGATGTATTTGAAGCCAAGAGTATGCATAAGAATGCTGAGAGGTATACAAGAAGACTAGAGGGCCAGGGCTGAGCCTAGAACCATACACCGTTAAATATGAATACACGTCAACTTCCACTCATTGCTTTTTACATGGAGAATTTAATTAGGCAGTAGAGCTTAGTGATTATAGAATATAGGTTCTGGAGTCAGAACATCTGATTCAAACCTTGCCACTTATTAGCCGTACACTTTGAGCAAATTATTTAACCTCTCTCCTAATCCATAAAATTATTTGGAGATAACATCCTTATCTACAAATAGGGGTAACAGTCCTTGCTGCACAGAGTTACTTACAAAGATGAACTGAAATAATACATGTCAAGGACTCACCATGGTGCCTGCCACTTAAGGTAATGAGAGTTTAAGAGATGGCAACTGCTATTGTTATTACTGGCACTCCTGCTCCGAAAGGCTGGAAAATACACTTGCCTTCTTCCCAGTGTAAAGAAGGATATATCCTGGGACATTAATTTTAAAACTATTTTAAGTAAGTCATGAAAGACAAAATGAATTTCAAATGGTTTACCACCAGGTAAATGTCATTCATCATCCTGGTAATCACTGACCAGAGGCATATAACTTCTTCACCTTTGATCTGCCCACATTTCTAAGAAATGATTTTTAAAGCAATGTATAAACAAAGTACCCTTTAGCAACAATCTCAGAGGGGTCATTTTGACTATAGAATTTGAAAAAGACACTCTTGTGCACTGCTACTAGATTCAAATTTGCTTTAGAAAGACAGTCTGTAAAACTGTTGTTTGTAAACTTGAATTTCAAATTAAATAATATACATTGGTTTAAAAGAATATTTGATTTTCTCTATGATAATAGAAATTTTTATTTTAAAAACAAAGAGCTTGTCACAAGAATTCTAGTTTGCCAAATCTAAATACTTTCTAAGTGGTTCAAATATATGAAAGAATTCTCTTTCATGTGATGGAACTATACAGCAGTAAAGAAACTAGAGGGAACCCAAAGGTTTTTGGCAACAAAAGGTTTTAACCTATCGCTGATTCAGCACTAACTTAGGAAGAACTCCCAGGGTGCATCTGCTTCATCAATTTAGTTAAACTGAATCTTGGTCAAAATAATATTTTTATCAGTAAGTTACTAGAAAGAAAATTATTCTCTCTCAGCTATCTTCTCCAAGAAAAAGCACAATAGGGAAACTGCTTTTACCTGTTAAACTTGTTTTAAACTCTTCCAAAAGTTACTGACTGGGACTTGCTAGTTTCAGGTCAATTATCTCAAGTAGATAGTATTCCTCACAATAGCGTTAATTTCAGTTAATTTTCTTTCCATGGAGAAATTCTGCAAGAATTTCAAAGCTATCATTTTAAAAACTGCCACAAAAATAGTACCAGTTTAAAAAACAATGGTAATCAGTGCTCTGGCATAATGAAGCTAACTGATTACACAATTTAAGTTAACAACAGCCAGTAATCAAATCTGACACTTAAAATGAAAGGGGAAAGATGTGTTATTAAGCCAATTCCGCACCTTCATGTAGAAATTCACATTTTCTAGATAAGGAATCATATTTTGACTCTACAATAATGACACAGTATCACAATCTATTTAGACCTTGAGAGTATGGTATATGAGAATTTATAATAATGAACCGCTTTATATTTAAACTAGTAGAAATTTGCTCCTGCAAAGTTAATTAAAATCATTCAAGAAAGCTAGAAAAGGAAAAACAAAAACAAAAACAAAATAAACTAATCAAAACCCGAAATGATTCAGTGCTGGTTAGAGTATGAGTAAATGGGAACTTGCATACTGTTGGCAGAAGCATAAATTAGTAAAACCTCTTAAAGAAAGACATATATTAATATCTATTAGAATTTTAAAAGTCCATAGCATTAAAGATTTTATTTATTTTTATTTTTTCCCCCCAAAGCCCCAGTGGATAGTTGTATGTCGTAGCTGCACATCCTTCTAGTTGCTGTATGCGGGACTCGGCCTCAGGATGAACGGAGAAGTGGTGCCTCGACGCGCACCCGGGATCCGAACCCGGGCCACCAGCATCGCAGCGCGCGCACTTAACCACCAAGCCACAGGGCCGGCCCAGTCCATAGCATTAGAGTCTGTTTTTCACTTACTTCTAGGACATCTACTTATAGAAATGCTCCCACGAGGATACAGAGATATGTGCAAGAGAGCATTTGTGCATTATTATAATTTTAAAAACATAAAACCAAAAAAGAACTCAAAGATGTATCAATAGGAGATTGGTTGAATCAACTACAGTGCAGCCTTTACATGGAAACCTGTACATCAACCGAGACAGAGCTGAAAGTCACTAGAGCTGTGTAGACAGAGCAGAGGATCAAACGCTGAGTCCCGGGGCAACCTGATGTTTCAAGATCAGGCAGATTCTGAGAAACCAGCAGCCAAGGGAAGAATTATCTTCAGAGAAAGGAGAAATACATGAAGGGTCGGTAAGATGAGGACCAAGAACTGACCGGATATTCAGCAGTCAGAACGTGACTGGAGAAGAATGGATTTAGTGGTCTGCAGGGGACCAGAGCGTTGCTGGAGTCGGATTAGAGAATGGGAAGAGAGAAGTAAAATTAGTGAATATAGACAACTCTTTTAAAGAATATTGTTATAAAGGGGAGTAGAGAAGTGGGGTGGTTGCTAGAAGGGAATCTGGTTTTTAAAATATAAGATATTATGGCACGTTTGAATGTTGATGGAAAGAATCCAAGAGAGAGAGAACAATGTAAATATGGCTAGAACATTGCTATACATACTGAATTAAATGTCCTAGGAATACAAACACTCACATCTTTTCCTTATTTTTAATCATAAAATCAAAACAAAACAAATCCAAAAACGTCAACTTTCTTTTTTTTTTTTTTTTTTAA